AGGGCTGTAGAAGGAAGCACATGCACATAAAATGTTTTTTACCATGAAGCAAGAAAGTGGGAACGGTAAAGGCAGACCTTGTTTCTTATTGTTAATAAAAAAAGATATTTGCAGCATGGGTTAGCTTTGTAAAAACGGGCTATTTTACTTAATTCTTACTCCCTTCTCAGAACCTTGAGATTTGCTAGTGTCAGCATTCATGGGCATGATACTCAGCTGAAAAATAACTGTGTGTAATTCTTCCTCAATTTCCCTGAGTTCGGATGATTGTGGTGGTTACAGAGTACTTTTGGTGTTTAGGCATTACCATTACTGAGGTGGTTTGCACTCAAAATGCTCCTTGCAGCTGGTCAGAGAGGATGCTGKGGTTTCAACATACAATACTCCTTGAGCTGGTCATAGTGTGCAGGCTTGGAAGATGCAGTTAACAGCTCGGTGAGAGAAATCAGATATCTGTGTTAAATTCCAAATATTGTCAACTGTAAKATTTATTGGTTGGAATAACTTTAAGGGTTAGAGATTTTAAAACTACTTGTTACACCTTTACCCCTTTCTTGTGACACCTTGTAGTGTATTTGTCAGCAATGCTATTATTTTTGTCCTGTCCCTTCATGTCAATGCAGCTTARAAATACTCCTTGCTTTCTGGCACTAGATGCAGACTCATTAATTCATGTGGCAATCTGATATAGGCTGTGCTGTGCCTGTTGGCCTCCTCACCCTTTCTTTTTATTTGTATAGTCATAGAGAGCATTGATGAAGTAATGAGAACACGATTTTGAAATTTTTATTTTAAGGCAGCTTTTCTAGAAGAAAGTTTTCTTTATAAATGCCATGTTCCATGATAGTCTCACAGCATCACCACCATCCTACTTGGCTGGTGATGGAACTTCCAGGAGCTACACTGCACAGAGCCAGAGATTATGGTTTCTTAAGAATTGCTTCCAGAGAGACACTGGCTGCTGTCTTTGATGTGTCCTTTTCCTGTGCCTTGAAGGGCAAGGCATCATTTCCATGGCTTAGCTTAYTGTCAGTCACCAGATAATTGAGACCCCATACAAGCATTTATCTGGGGAATCTGACGTCCCACCTGCTGACACAATTGATRCCTGCTTTGTGGAAGTTTGTCTGCTTGAGATTCCTTTACCAATGCTGAAATAAGTCACAGACTATCCAGAATTATCGGTGCATTCAGTAGATCCCAGAAGGTCATGATGGGAAAAAAAGAGACATTAAACTGACCAAAAACATCCCCTTTAGGTCTTTAAGCCAATGGTTCATATCTGCATTTTATCTGTTATAGCTGGAGAATCTAAAAYTTACTAATAACTTCAGAAATTCAATTAATTCTGTCTAAGTTGTCCCAGATAGATCTTAATAATTTATTAGTGGTATAAAGTACTGGAGGATGACGTCCTAAAAAGGAATTATGTGATGTGATAAAACTACAGTACACACAAGGGATTTTGGTTAAGTTATCTTATCCAAATGACTGATACCTACTGCTAGGAAGATTGTCTGGGGTAAAATAAAGCCCTGTCACTGTCCTGCAGCAGGAAGCATAAGAGAGAGAAATGTTGTCTGAAGGCTTCAGTTAAAAATTTARAATGTCAAATGATGCATGAAAGCAGGAAGCTTCTTACAGAAAAAAAAGTTGCAGAAATTATTCATAATGATCTAATTTTCTTTGGATTAGTTGTAGCAAGCTTGCCAAAGGAACAACCAAAGGAAATATAATCTCTCATTTGTTATCTTCTACTGATAGAAGACAAAGAAGATTCYTGGAAAATATGATGTAAAAAAACACAATTAAGATTAATGAGGAGAAGAAATTCCCAGCTGTCATAATGGATTATTATTAACACCTGCTATTCAATATCACTTCCTCAGAGGATTGGGAGTTCCATGTACTACTGACTGGATAAACTGAGATTGACCAGAAGTATGGTTTGGCTTCTCAGGACTCCAGCAAAAAAACAGTATGTTCTATCAGTCATAAGAAATAGTAGGCTTTTGTCTTTTTTTGATAGAGAAAATTTTGGCTCATTGGGAAACTAATGGCTCAAAAGGCTCCGAGCAGGGATTGTTAATATGTCCTGAATTACTGCAAGACTACAGATTTCCATTTAACTATGTGACTTTCCATTTAAGTATGTGAATCTTAGAAGAGGTGAAAAGGCAACACTTAAAAAGAATGATTTCTCAATTTTATCTGTGGCACAGATGCACTGCTCCAATTAATGTTATCATTGTTTGTGCCATATTTCAATAACATAAGCATATTTAAAATTTCCCTTTCATTTCCTTTTGTCACTTTATCAAGGTCTGTCATGTGTAGGAAAGCAGCCATTAAGGTTCTGTAAGGATTACAGATATGCAATATTTCATCTTGAAAAGCTCAGCATAGTTGCTTCCTGAAAGGCATTAAATAAACAAAGCTGCAAGCTGATGTCTTCTGCTCAGCTCACAGCAAAATACTGTATTTGGGTCTAATGAAAGTTCCTTCAGCAACACTGTCAATGTATTTTAAAGTTTAATTTCAAGAAAGCATCTTGACATAGAAGAATTTACTTGCAGTTCTTTGTTTTTCTTTAATAACACTTGTATAAACAGTGTATTGGAAAATGTTCTGCATATACTGAAGTGGAAAACCCTGAGGAGCATTGAGTCCCACTAGAAAAAGAAAAGGGGGGCAAAGGCTGAGGACTTTGTGAAATTACAGTCTGGAGGTGAGACCAGGCTGTTATTTTTTCTTGACTAGGGAATTTGAATACTATGAGAAATTGTGTTACAAGATCAATAAATATTTGGGTTTATAAATTTGAAGGAACTGTGGAGACATCCCTCTGGAATATAAATCCTTTTGTGCTCCCTATGAAAATCAGGTTTTGAAGGAATAGGCTGAAAGATTCAAATATTTTCTTAGGTGACACAGCATCCGAATTGATAGGAACTGTCATGATCCTTCCCTGTTGGATATGTTTTTACAAAGGGACTCTAATGAATTAGTCCARGACAACTCAATCCTTCTATTTTGTTCAAGAAGATGTTCTAAAGATTACCTTAGATATACCTTAGATAACTCCTGATATTTCCTTGGCTGCTTCCCTCCCAGTTCACAATCTGCCTGATAGTTTAAAGCTTTTACCCAACAGTCACCATTCATCTCTGAGAAATCTGAGTCAGACTCAGAAGGAAGAGAATCAGTATAAGATATTTGTATTTTAAAGTTAAAATAAGCTTCTTCAACCTTTGGTATTTCTCAAGAAAATTCCCCCCCTCCCCCCAAAAAACCCCAAACCCCCTGATGTTTGTTTATATTCTAATTTCATTCTTTTTTCCCCTATAAGTTTTTAACTTTTAGRGGTAGCAAGCTGCTTACATCCTGGCACAGATAAGTCAGTCGTCCAAGCAGATTTTTCATTCTTTCCTGTATTGCCTCATCTTTCTCCCAATTGATTACTGGTTAGCTTGACTTAGTCAAGAAAATACCACATATAATAAACATGTAGAAGAGGATGACGTTGTGAAACTTACTTGTTTCATGTTGTCTTTAATTAAGATGATTATTGACCTAATTAAGCCTTTTTATAAGAAGAGGTGAATTCTCCAACGTGGTTTGAAGGAAAATAATTGGAAGRAGACAGTTTCAAGGTGCTGATTTTAACTTTTTATTGAAAAAATACTTAGCTTGCTCATTTATGGGCTCTCTTTTCCTCCCTAAGTGCATGTGAGTAAAATTCCACAGAGTTCTTATGAGCAAAGTTTGTTCCTTCTCTGCCTCTAGAGCAGGTATAGCCCTTTAGACATTACAGAATAGTCCCTTTTAAGAACGGCTCAGGGTCATGTAGGTCAATCTCCTGAGGCTGTACAGAAATTCCAGTGTGTGATGCTGTTCCTATTGCTAGTAAGTTTTTTCTTCGTATGTAAAAGCTGCAAGTGAAGACCACTTTAGATAAAAATTATTTCTGCAGGAATACCAATACTGACTTGAGCATACCATGAAATTTGTGTCTCTTGCTGATTTGATCCACTTGTTCTGAGCAGTAAAATAATTCTCACATTCTTAACCCTTCTGCCAAGATATCCTTACATGACTTTGACTCAGAGACTCAGGATGGGAATTTCCAAAGAAAGCTGCCTTTAGTGCCTGTTAAGGTGAAGACATGAATGTTTTGACTTCAGTTCTGGAATGTACCATTTGAAATTTAGTATTCAACTTTCCAATTGCAGGCAAATTTCCTTATTTTCATCCAGCCCCTTGTTGAATTCTGCTACTCAGAAAGATGCGGTGCAGTTGATTCACAGTGAGTTGGAATGATTTTGCTTTCACTGTTATCTTTTAAAGTGGCTTCCACTTATTTTCCTTCCTCCTCTTTGCTCCCATTCTTGTAGTCAATCTTTCATGTTTCCTGTGTTTCTGAACGAAGGGGTTGGCAGCACACTCACCTTTCAATATAACTGTGATGAGAGCAAATCTGGTGATATTGGAGTTCTTGATAATTACACCAAAGCTAATCTTAGGTTACTTTAGTATCATATTGTTCCTATATATTTGTTCCATATTATTCCTAGGAGAAAAGTAACAAACTATTAACAGCTTCATTTTCTTGCAGTGTCACCCACATTAAACTGAAAAAGGATTTGAGTCAAAGGAAGAGRTTCACTAGGATGACAGGGCACTTAGTTTGGGATTAGTGAACAGTAAAACCACAGTAACTATGATGAAGCTGCCTGGACAAATGAATTGACTAACGATTGCATTTGTAATTTATGTACTTGGAATGGGCAGTGATATGATTATCTTGTGCCATGTGTCCTAGGACACACTGTTCTGGTTTCTACAGGAGTTACCCACCTTGAGTTCTATTCAACCTTGAACCTGAACCCTTGGCTGAATGATTGAAGCAGCTGAAACACTGCTTTATCCATGGTGAATGCCTGTTGAGGTATATATATATATATATATATACATACATATATGTGTATATATATATCTCAAATACACTCTTTGCTTTCCTTTGTACATGCTACCATTGTACAATAGCCCGCACTGGGCTCACTGACTCAAATATTCATTGTCTCTCTGAGCTTTTGCCACATGGAGCTAGAATGGATTTTAAAGTACATTTCTTTACTATGGTTTTTCTCACATAGCCATATGAACAAGATGGATAATCTGAAGTTGCTRTTGATTCCCCAGCTACTTCACTGCAGTCAAAGAATTTCCTCTTTTATGTTTTCCTCAAAACAGTGAACATCCCAACAAGAAAGGTACCTGCCATTCAGAATTTAAAATGTCTGTGAAATCATCTCAACAGTACCTGATCAACAGAAGCTCAAATATTTGAGAGCCACTAGAGGCAACRTTCTATGGATGAACAACTTATATATATCTCTTCAGAGTCCAATATAACATCAAGAAGGCAGAGTATGTCAGACATCACCTGCACTAGGACTACTTGCATTATCCTGTTAGGATACAGACAAGAAACAGGGATACTGAGTAATAGGAATGGAAAGGAAAAGCATATTTTAAATTAGCACACTCAGGAGCACAGAACTACATAGTCCAAAACTTCTGGGGAAGAGCATTATTCTTCTCTTTTCTTGTCAAAAGGTAGAATTATTTTTCTTTTTGTATGTAGGAACACTCTGCTATGAGTCACCTTAGTCCCCAAACTGAATAGGATTAATTGGAGAAAATAGAGTATTAATCTTTTCCTTAATATTTGTCCACAGCAGTTGGTAAATGCCACACAAATAACTCAACCTTKTGTAGAAGAAATGCCTTCTTCAACCTGGGGATGTTTACTTCAAAAATAGCCACTCTGAATCAGTTTATACTGTTCTGCCTGCAGAACTAACAAGTCAAATCAGCTGYGTCCATGTTTTAGTCATATTGAAACTTTTGTTCTGGAATATATATGAGTTTCCTAACTAAAAAAAACCAACAAACCAACCAAAACCCAAACAAATATCAAGCTGTCCTTAATTTGGTCCATCCTTTATATCAATCAGATAATTTATTATCACCATTTGATCTGGGATATAGTAAAGCTTTCACCTGGCTGCTTAGCTCTCAAAAAAAAAMCAAAACCCTAAACCCTGGGAGAAATGCTGGAGASCTAGATTAGCAAATGGCCTCTTTTCATCCCAGAATATGCACCTGGACCAGGTGGAGGTATAATGAAATAAAAGGGATATGGCCAGTGTCCTACAGAAAGTGGCTAACAGGGTGACAAGTTGAGCCACAGACTTAGCAATTTTCTTTGGAAAGAAAAATTCACAGTATTTAACACAGTTGCCACTGGTGAAGGATTTAATGAAAAACAAAATTAATTAGGAAATTTATYTTCAAAAGAGTCAAGATAAAGAGAACTCTGAGCAAAGCAGCTCTTTGGCTCTCCATGAGTCTACTGCTGCTCTCTAAAAACTAAAAATAAGAGAAATCCCTTTATCTCTTGGACTAAAGATCAAAGTTGAAACTTGATATTACATTACCGATGCATATGACATCTGGTAAGGGAAAATCATATTCAGTGAATACCACTGATTTATGGAAAAATTTAAAATGTAGGATGAATTTATTTAATCCAAATTATGTAATAAACACTTCTTTTGTGGATGTTTTGTGGTGGCAAAAAATATTTTCATCTACGATATGTCTACCAGTGATTAATGCTGATACCCATGTGCTTATGMATTTACCAACTTGTTTGTCTACAAGTCCCCTGAAAGATAACATCCCACGTGCTCACATTTATGTTCTTCCTCTTGTAGTTTACTGGAGATTTATCTCTTCAGAGTGTTAAAGATTGACTGCTGGGAGCATCCCAACAATAAGAGAGAAGCAGGCAGTGTGTTTGTTGCCATAATGAGATTGAGACTTCTTTCTTGGTAAGTGGACAGCTGMATGACTCAGCCATTTATCAAGTGAAGATAGAGAAATGGAGGTGCCTGGAGGAAAGAATTACTTATTATGGATAGCGGCTGGTATGACATGGATATGAATCATGAGGAAAGCAGTTAGTTTTGAAGAAGACTGGGCAGCATTCCAGAAATWCCAGAGGACAGGTGACTGCAATGAGACTTAGAAATATAGTTATTATGATTCCCAATAATTGGTCAAAAGTGATTCCTGTCTTCAAAGTTCCTTTGCCAAAAGAGACTAAAGTTACAAACTTTACTACACAGGAAAGATTTTTTGTTTTGGTTTGGGGTRTTTTTGTGTAAGAGACTCAGTCACYTCCTTTATTCAAAGAAAGAAATTAATACTGCTTTGGTAGAAATTTCAACTGAAATCTTTGATAACTGCTAAAGGAGTTGTAGTCATCACATTAATGAGTAAAGTCATGTTAGAGGTAACAAACGAAGGAACAAAACATGTTGTCATCGGACAGTAGAACCAAGCACAAGCTTTACCTTCTGTGAGAAGACTGGAGATAATTTTTAATGCCCTTATGATAGCATTGTACAAAAGGGTGGAAAGGCAAGGAAGAGTCTTTAAATAAATATTCTAATTTTTGACTTTATAAATATTCTAATTTTTGACTTCGAGTTCTTTGTTCAAACAAGTAATTGAGTATTCCTGAAAACCACAACAGAAGTAGATATATTATGAGATAGCCAAGAGGATTGTAAATTATGTTCTTTTTCCAGTTTATTTTTTGGCGATAATCACGTTTCTCTGAGGATGTTCATGGAAGAGTCTTGTTTCCCAGCTTGTGTCATTTGCTCAGTGTTTGCAATCCCTCTGTATAACCTTTACAAAGTTCTGTACAAATTCTGTAAAACTTTTTTCTTCATATTCTTCACATTCTTTGCATTTTGCTGATTTTGTGGAAGTCAACTGAAAAACAAAATACAATAGTAAAGCAGGATGATGATCCATTGGTTCCCATAGAGAATTAAGTTTTTTGCCCTGTTTTGGGAATAATTTCAATGCAGGTAATGGCTATGGAAAACGTTAGTGGAGGTTTCCATAGCAGTTATGGTCTTGCAGTTCCTGGCTTACTTTCTGAATGGAATCACCTTTGATAGGTATATCACTCGAGTGAGGGGTGGAAATGACTATCCCTTTAAAAATCAGGATACTTTTCTGCCCGTGTCTAAYATATCTGACTTCAGATACTGAAGCTGCAAACTGCCATTTATACACACGCATTCAAACACCCTGACATATGTATGCATGCACAAAAKGATTTGCTTTGATAGGAATTCTGAAAGTGTTTTTCTCAAAGCCACTAATCTCTGATTTTTCATTGTTACATATACAGGTTACTGGAATCTCATTTRTTTTCATCTGCACCATCCCACTGTGTATGTAACAAAAGAGGTATGMCTGCTACTGAAGAAGTATTTTTGATTTGCCTTTTTTCCACAGACTGTTGGTGTTACCTTATTTTTGTCAAAGGTTGCATTTCCATTTTTCCATATGTTCCATACATCCTGTGTTTTACTACAATTTTTGATACGGCATTCTTGAATAATCACTTCTGTCTCTAAGAAAAAGCACCTCATTACAAGTTCTTGGCATTCCTCCTGAAAAAAAATGCAGTTGCAATAGTTTTATGATTAAGAAGGAATAAATGAATGTAGGATATAATTTATTATATAATTTAAAACACAAGTATGATATAAGTGAGATATTATTTCAGATAAAATCAGCCACAAAGTGGCTGATTTTTACTAATTGGGCATTTTTTCTTACTATTCAACTACATTTGAATATCTGCAAAGAGGGGGCTGTGAGATCTAAGAACAAATAGGCCAAGCAATTTGCCAGCATGAGGTGAAAGATAGTATCTTAGTGAAGAATACAGGAAAATAATTAATCTGAATAGGAACCTGGRATATAACTAAACATGGAATTAAATTAGTATTATTCTTAGTAATTTGAACACTTAGAGATCTGAATTCTGAATGGGTAAGGTTCTAGAGGAAGTAGATAATACTCCCTTAAATATTACAAATGAATACCAGCATTATTTTAGCATTGTTTGCTTTGATGAAAWAACTTTGAATCACACAATCACAGAATAGTTTGGGTTGGAAGGGAYCTTAAAGATCCACTACATTCAATCTCTCTGCTCTGCACAGGGACTCCTTTCTGTAGGCCAGGTTACTGAAARCCCCATCAAACATAGCCTTGATCATTCTTTTTAACGGATTAATTTTAGTAGCCGATGACTAAATAAAAATAATTAACACCTACTTGCATAATTTATCATAAGCACCTTGATTAGAAGAACTATTTATTACAAGGCAAATTATTTGATTTTAGATGCTTTTATAAAATTAGAACAAGTTTGCTTTCAGAGAAACTTGTTAGTAAAGAAAGGAAGCCACCACATTAGATATYAGTTGTGGTCAAATGTGAAGTTTACTTACATCCTCATCTGCATTTGCAGTGTATAAACTGACATCAATATCCTAAAAGAAAACAAGAGCTGGAATTATGAACGTCAGCTAACAAACACCATCCCTTTCCCTGCTCCCTCTCACTGACACTTCTTAGCTGAGCACTATGCTAAATATTTTATTAAGTCTTCTTCTATGATTATATGAAATGCTGACTTTTTAATGAACTTACTTTGGATGTCTTGATCCTCTCCAAATCTTTCAGAACTTCTGCCCACTTGCAATGACCTGCTTCTGTCTTTGGTACATAAGCACTAGAACAGAATAAAAACAGTGACCATTAGGCTATATAGGATCTGTAAACATCTAAAATGTTTATGTTGAAAACAAGAGCAGTATAAGATACTRCAAATACATTATTCACATGTATAGATACATATGGTCCATGTTTGGGACAAGCATATTTGACAAATCATAAAATCACATAGATACATATAAACTGTATGTCACATCACATCACATCACACACTGTATAAACAATGTGGGGGGTTTTAAAAGGCCCGATTTATAGAACATAATGCAAAAGAAAGGTCCGATTACCTGATGTAAAATATCTACAGTTCTTTTAAAGGATAAAAATAAAATTTCAAATCTGCTCCCTAAATCGACTGGCGATAAGTAAGAGCTGTGATAGTAAAAATAAGTATTTTGTAGTTCCGGTCTGATCGACATTGACTCTGTAGTTACCATAGGAAGAAGATGATTAGTCCCATCCCATTCTTTAAAGGGCAAAAGCCATGGCTGTTCAGAAGCCGATACAGCGGGTACTGCAGACAAATACTTTTCAGGTGTGTTTTCTGAAAGACACAACCAAGGTGATACCTTGTGACAATCTGATTGCAAAATTTTCCTTTAGTACTGACTTATTTAACCAAATTGCCAAGACATCTAATCAAGACGAGACTCCATTGTGTGTGGCTGGAAAGACCGACCGATTTGTAGCTTGGAGAAATATATAATCACTTTACYAAACAGTTGGTAGAAAATCAGATGCTGAAGGCACACTACAAAAGCCTGAACTCATCCTGGGCTCTCTATTTATTTATCTGTTCACACTGCAGGCTGCAATTTAATGCAGAGGCAATACTGAATAACTTCTGTTTTCCCCCTCTCCCCTGGCTACCATTTGTCACCCAAATGCAATGAATTACCTTCAACTACAACATTAACTCCAATATCGTGGTTGCATACACGTGAGACTTTACACTGAATTAATCAAATACTATTGTTATGTGTACAAATGTTAAATACAATATTTAGATACAGTATRCAGTTACATTTCTTTACACAGTGTCTAATAGTGGGAAGTGTTGCATTTCAGAAYTTCCTCAGTGGAGTTTGGCAGCTAGCACTAAAGAGAAGCTGTGAGCTCCGCATTGTCCATTAGGAAGCATTTCCTTGTGCACAGCCTGGTAACCTTTGTTCCAAAGTCACAAGCTCTTTGATTTAAGCTAATAAAGTTCCCTCACAGATTTTAGTTAACTATCTACAGCAGTGCAGTGGTTTTGATCCAAGGTCTTATTCCTTATCATACATGCAATACTTTATAACTGACTCAAATGGCGTTTCTTTAGCAATGGTTTGTTTAGATGCAAACCTGCAAGTAAGTATTTTTAAATGGACCAGAGAACAGAATAACAAAACAAGATCTAGCTCTGTGCAGTGGTAAAAATTATCCAAATGRGAGGTCAATCCATGCAGTCAGGACTGCAACTTGCTTGCTGAAAGCCACCTTAATAAAGCAAAGCCAGGAGAGTAATGATTACATGTGTGACAGGACTTCTCGAAAGTATTTGTAACAAATATTTGCTACTCTCTTAAATAGAAAATGTTTTAAATACRTTGGAATTATTTTGTTTCCAAAACCCAAAAATACAGCTGAAATAGCMTAATTACGTAATCCTACATTAATTTCCACATTTTATATTGGGAARCAGTGTCAGCCCCTTTTATCTCCTTTGGTTGTTCAAAACCTGTTAAATAAGAGCTATGTAAATRAATGATTCTATGATAATCTAAATTGCAGTAAGGACAGAGAAAGAAWCATCTCATACATCTTCTGAACAATTTCCATATGGAGGATGCTGTTGTGGTCGGCCAAAGTAGTTCTAAAAGCAAGACTAAATCTGTCACTGTTTCCACAACAAAAGGAAGTTGAAAATATGTGAGTACTAAACCCAAAATATTAAGTATTTATAAAAGTATATTTTTCGAATGTACAGGAAAACAATGGRAAAGAATTATTAACTGCTTGGCTAGGGTTTGAAGAGCTAAATCATTTTGCAATAATATGACAGAAAGKCTTTCACCTTTTCACAGTTAACATTGATCTGAAATTGTCATGTTATTTCTTTTGGGTTTGGGTTTTGTTTGTTAAATCTGCATGATAACTGCTTTGATTTGATATTATAATCCTTAGAAAATATCCTGTATTTACTGGGTTTGGGGACTTTTTATTATTATTATATAATTGAAGTTCAGAATTAGTCTTATGGGGAAACTCCTAATGCATKTAAAGAAATTTTAAATCTGATTGGTGAATAGAGCTGAAAAGGAAATAAATTAAAGTGTACTAGAAACCACTTTACAGTAGCTAAATATTTTTATCATTCTACAAGCCAATTTTTATCAAATGAAATTACAAAAAATTAAAATATGAAAGGCTTATGATACGTCCATAAGCACAAGCCATCTWCATAATTTATAATTAGAGTTATGGGGCCTTAAAAAGCTGACTTCAGAGGGAGTTCCAGTCCAAATGTGTTGTCAAATTTATGCTGCAGAACAAAGTGTTCATGGTGAGGAAAATAATATATTGGAATATCTAGTGAATAATGGGCCAGGGTAGTCATTAGTTTGTCATTTGTTTCCTGTTTTTAATATTTGTTCACTGTGATGACACTGAACACTGTGATCGATCTAAATGATTTAAGTCATTGTCTGTATCTTTGGTTTTCTTAAATATGGTAGGTAACTTTCATTGTAACAAAATAATAATTGCTGATATGCAATAAATGCTTAGTTTTTAGAAATAATAGAAATCTTATATTCATGATAAATATGTGAAAAATAGACTACATGCATACTCTGAAGTACAGAACATACTTCATTTGCTCATAAAGAGTTTTTTTATGTCAGCTACATCCCTCAACACATTGCTTTCATCAATTCAGGGCCATTTTCTACTTGAACTTCTTAATTCCTTCATCCATACTATTATTCAACAACAGAAGCATTGTTAGCAGGCCTAGAAGCTTTGACAGATTGTTCTCCTGCCTTGAACACTCARTGCTGTAACAAAATTTTTCTTTGTATTCTCGTTTTGATTTCTTACTCTGTGTAATCATTAACCAGTTACTTCTACTCCATTACATCTCTGGTACTTACCCTTGTGAACATTGGACCAGGGAGCAGCTCATATTTATGTACATAATTTTTTTTTATCTGTAGCTTGTGTCCTGATTACTTTCTACTCTAAAGATTAAAGCCTTTGGAAATTAATATACATTCTTCAAAAATGAGTTATGGTATACAAAATAATGTTTGGGAAAGGAATGCTGTTTTTTAATAAGGAATTTCAATTAGGTATTTTAAGAGCAGTTACCACTGAGTGATATCTAGAATAAAGTAGTACTGTTTTCTCTTTAATGAAGCAAACATATAAGTAAATGAAAAAGCTTTTCTTTAATAAAGCAGAAACAGCCAATGATTTTKCTGGTTTGGCTGTCACAGAMACAATCAYCTAAGTTAGTCAAAAGRAAATATTCACAGCTTTTTGCATTTTATACATAGCTTTTATGTGATGAAAAATACAGTTAAAATTACATTTCTGCATATATACTGTATGTCTAAACTTCTTTAATAATATTTTCTTATAAACTTCTCGTTGACTCTATGAGATGAGATATTCATAAGTAAGAAAGTTTATTTCCTGGCCATGCCATTTGGTGTTATTGGCAAAGATCTTTGCTTGTTTTCTCTCTATTTTGAACAGTATTTTTATATTTATTTATGTCTTTATTCCTCATCTGCTTCCTTGTTCTTGAAAACAAGTGACCAGAAACATACAACATACTCAGATCTTATAAAGGATCTAGAAAACTGGTGGTAATATTTTCAGTTTCTATGGGAAAAAGGGAACTGCCTACARCCAGAGTTTTCTTCATGACTTTGTCACACTGGTGGCTGAGACCTCAACATGCTCCCCTGCCAGAATGTTATGTTCTTTCAAAATTCTGGAATGTCCTGACAATCTTTCACTATTTGCAGAAAATTCTAGCCCTAAAAAAAAAAAAAAAAAAAAAAAAAAAAAAAAAA